CCTGGTTACACAAAGTATTGCTAATTATGATTGGTCAAATCACATGTTGTTTACATGTAAATCATATGATACCATATAATATTGGTTACACGATGTTGATCTACAATCTATTTTATATGAATTTGGAAATAGTTACACCCTACCCTTAAAAAAAAATTTAAAAAAAATTATAATAGCCAATCACAATTAAGGATTCGAAGGTTCTAGATTGCAGATCAGTAAAAATCTATTGGTGTAGTTAGTAATTCCGGCCTGATTTTTTGATCGTCGCTCTTAAAATCGTGAATCTGCAGTGACAATTTTCTTGCGGCAGTTAGGGTTAATAGTGTCCAGGATACTGCGGTACATAATTCTGCTCGCTAAAAATAATTTTTATATTGTTTTCATAAAAGACACATGATTTAAATTACCTTTTAAATCAAATTACAATGTAAAAAAGTATTTTGGCGTGCGCAGAATTATGCATCGCAGTACCCAGACACCAAATATGGAAGTTCGATAATACAATAAGTCTAAAGAAGTAATTCGAGTCAATCCACCGATATAAAGAAAAGAATAAGGCAATGTTACATTAATTATTTCAGTGTATCATATAGAAGAAAATGGTAATAAATAGACTTGGTTGTCATGGTCTTTTTTTTCAAAAATCCACAATATTTATCTTTTTTTCAAAAAATCCACAATATTTATCTTTTTTTTTTTCAAAAAATCCACAATATTTTTTTTTTTTGAAAAAATCCACAATAATTATCTTACACGATGTCAACTAAAAGTACCGTGCACTATTATGATGATGGAGATTTATTAATAGTAGTTCAAGACACCACTTTTCGAATTCATCGAAACATAATAGTATTATCATCAAAAGTATTTCGGGATATGTTTTCTTGTGTGAATCAAAGTAAAACTAAACAAGATAAAACAATACCGAGCATAAATCTCAGATTCATCAGCATCGATTTTCGAAAATTTATTATCATTTCTTTATCCACACAAATTTATTGCAATTACATGGGCAAATGTTTCAGATTTTTTACAACTTGCAGATAAATACGAAATCGATAGCGTAATAGAAGCTTCAAAATTGTTCCTCGAAACCTATTTTCGAGAACAACCCAGCTTGGCGTTTGTTTTGGCAGATAGATTCAGATTTCCATACGTATATAAAGAATCATCAAAACTTGTTCTTGATATACTTCCAACATTTCATCAGTCACAATATTTTCATCAACTTACACCTCAAACAGGATTACTTCTCTTAAATCGATACTTTGAATATATAACATCAATTGGAAACTTAAAAAATTTTGATGCACATTTAACTTTTGAACATACTTGTGAATCAGCCCAATACGGTCCGGATACGAGATTAACACATGTTAAACACTTTAGACAAGATTTTTCGAATAGAATAACCAAAGCACAAGTTCATCCAATTTTAGCACCATCGAAATGTTTTAAATTATTTTTTGAAATGAATCAACAAAATCCAAATTTAAGTTTATGTGAAAATTCATTTTTTGAAAACCATTTAGCAAAACAATTTTCTATACATTTTGGAAAATTTGAACCTTTGGAGAGTAAAAAGAATAGAAATGGCGCAACAAATTATATATTTATTGAAATGAAAGTTTAAAACAATATCAAATACAGTATACCAGTATATACTATACATATATATTCAATTCATTGTAAAAAAAGAACATTTTTTATAATCTCTTCCTTCATTATTTTTCATAATTTCTGTCAACATGTGTTATTTAAAACTTTGTTATTTTTTGTTGCTATTCTTCTTAACAAATATGAACACTTGTTTTTTATTTGATCAAGGAATGCATTTGATGGGAATATTATATATATATATATATATATATATATATACATACATATAAAGAGTTGTCAACAGTAGAGGGACTGATGGTCACGAGATCCTATTGCTAAAAAATTTTTCAATGGTGGTTTTATATACTTAATCATTTCAGCAAAAGCGAATTCGTTGATAATATCATTATAATAAAATTTTAACGTTCTCAAATTATGACAAGAGTTCAAGATTAAAATAATTTGAGAATTTGAAGAAGATTGGAGATCCAAATGATGAATATTTGGACAATTTAGAGAGATAGAAGTTATAATATCTGACATATCATCTAACATTGAACATTTAAAATATAAAAGATTTTTTGCTGCTGCTTCAACTATTTTAACAACGAAAGGAATAAAAAATTGACGATTATGATCGTAATTAATGATTATAAGTTTTCGTAAATTTGGAAAATCTGGTTTCCAAGGATTTGAAGTGAAATCGAGAGTTCCTATACAACTTCGAATTTCTAATGTTTTTAAATTAAAACATGATACCCATGAATTAATCGTGTCTAAATTAACACGATATAATTCTAGTTTCTCTAAAGAATTTGATTGATTCGATAAAGATTTAAAAATAATAGAACAATTATCATCACCGAACGCATGGAGAAGTTTAAGATGTTGTAATGACTTTTGTTTTTGAATAAGGCTCGCTAATGCCAAAGCCTTTGCTTTATAATTTACACACTCTGCAATAATGTATTGCAAAGTAGTAGTAAATGTTGCAATCTTTTCCATAAAGAAAGTTTCATCTTTCCATGAAGCTATTTGAAGCTTCTTAAATCTTTGTAAATTTAGAGAATTTTGATTTATGGACAGCGTTTGAGCATTTTCATTAAGATGAATGAAATAAATCTTTTCTGCTTGTTCTAAAAAATAAGAAACAAATATTTCATTTAAAAATACTATATTATCTTTGTTATTATTATTATTTAACCATGTCTTTGACATGTTTTTAATAAGTTTTAAGTCTATGGTTTTGAGAAAATAGGGATAATCAAAAGTTGAAGTTTTTTCATTTGGTAAAGGAATATTTTTATTCTTTAGACATTTTATTTGTTTTTCAGGAAGGCAACGTAAATAAGATGTAACAAGAGGTAACAGAGACTTTTCTGAGGGGTTCGGCGATCTCCAAAGTATTGGGACCGCAGTTTTGCACCATGTTCTATTAACAAGAATACAAGAGAATAAAGTATCTACATTTTCAAAAATTTCTTTTAGTAATTCAATACATAATAAATTAATCGCCATGTTTTTTTATGTTTTTTGAGTTGGGAACGCACATTTTATGAATTATTATTTATATTAAATTCTAATTAAACAGGTGATTTTCAAGATAAAGTTATCGAAATAACGTATTAATGTTATATATACGTAGTATCGAAAGGTTTTTTTTTTTTGCTAATCACATGGATTTTTAGAAATACGAAAATTTTAAAATACGCCTATTACTGTATTATCATTATATTATGGAGTACATTGTACATCATGCACAACATAGTCAAAATAATATATAAATAAGTCTACGGCACAAACCTGTTCATGATAAAAATATTTATTTTTTGTGTTTTTAATATCACGTTTTTTTCAGGATGAGTGGGCGTCGTTTGATATTGTTTTTTCAAATATATACATATATATATATTTTAAGTATAACATGTTACTGTTAACGTTAATATCAGCGCGACGCCAATTACTAATGTGTATAGTAACATATAAGATTCTTTCTTTCTTTGGGAGAATGAAGGTTCATTTCGGTTCCATAAAAAGTAAGACTATCTGCTGAGAATTTTGTTGACACTTTAACCATTTATACTTTTTCTTGACCAGGAAAAATGGTTTGATGAGATAATCATTCGCATTGACTTTAGAAAGTTCTGATCACTTTTGATACTGATTAACGATAGAATGGGAAATCTCGTAATTTCTTTCATTTAAAGGATTTTCTTTCGAATTTGTCGATCACGCTTTATAGAAATTTGATCATGTTTAAGCAAGTTTAGACAAGTTTAGACAAGTTTGAACTTGGTCGGTCAACCAAAAAGGCCTATGTGTCTCGGTAAAAAACTGTACGTTCGGATATAAGTACAGTATGCATGAACATGTAACAATGAACACGAAAGATGTGGTTTTTTTTCCTATATTAATTTTTAACTGGAATTCGTTTGTCCTACGTTACTCTATCAATACTTAATAATTATAGAATCCACAGCCAGGCGCAAGCTTTAATGATTTTTAATACTAAATTATTTCGGTGGGAAAGTTCCTCTTCATAAAGAAATTCAATACTATGATCGAAAAGGAAATTGCTAATCTAGTTTAAGAAAATAGAAAAAGAAAAAATTTGTAACACATTTGTAAATGATGTTACCGTCACATAATTTATATTATTTCACTCTTTCCTTGAGCTCAACTAGCTCAATTACCAACGTATTGTGATATATTTATTTTAATTATTCTATATATGTAAAAACCCTCGATACGTAGAATGTAAAAAAATGATCTAACAACCTCTTCAAAAAATTTTCAATTCGTAAATTAGTCAGATATGGAAATTGAATTAAAGTTACCATCGGTGAAGGTTATGGTGAAGGTTATGGTGAAAAGATTAGTGACTCTAAATTCTACATTGATATTGGATATCAGCATAGAAGAAAATTAAAGCGAAATATTGTTATATTCTTGAAGGAAATGTTGAAGAAAGATGAAACATTTGATTTAATGAAACTTGAATATTCATACATCGAATTTGATGCTTCCTAAAAGTGTACATTTCAAGTTATCAAATTTTGCACATTGAGATTTCTATTACGTAGTACTGAAAGAGATTTTAGAGCGCGTTCCTCTATTGCTGCAGATTCTACTCATTTTGATAGTATAGTTCTTTGTATAAATAGAATCTTATTTTTGCATACTCGCAGTTTAATTAACCCCTTATTGCCTATTGACTATCCAAATCCGTAAAACTTAGATACGTATTAGAGAATTGTTTGTATTAAATTGAAATAAAAAATTAGCCAAACATGGAAAATTCTATATCTTAAATGTATAATTTATACGTAGTCTTTTTTGTAAGTATATAGTATATATATAATTAATTATCGTTGTTATACGTATTTTAAATAAACCTGTCTTTTCAAACATTATAATTAATTTTTTAAAAAATGTTTCCTTTAATGGTCAGGAATTTTATAATGTCCATCTTTATTAATTTCACAAGCCACAAAAACTAGAATTGTTTTGAAACAATCGGGAAAAAAAAGAAATTGTTTATTAAATGTTATTATCAATCAATGTTGATCATGAATAACATAGATCAAAGGGTTTGTTTTTTACAATAGTTCAATTCATTGACAATTGCGATTAGTTAGATCTAAGTATCACAGTGATTGAGTACGTACGTACGTATTATAAATTTAAAAACCGTGTCACTTTAAACTATGCCATTTTACCCAATACCTGAATGCTTGAATGTACAGTATAATAGTATCGCAATACAGCAATAACTGTTATAAAAAATATCATAATTTGTACATATATGATATTGTTTATTTTTTAACAATTGTACGTATTTCTTATATTAGCAGTTTATCTTTATATGCTAACCGTTTTTGATCTAGTTTTATGCTAGTTTTTTTCCTACAAATCATATCGTATCGGTATAAAGGCATTAAACGCTAATTTTTAATTTACATTATGATTTTATATGTATGTACGTACGTACGTACGCATTTAACCACAATTACTTTTTGGGAATACATTATTTACCATAATAAGTAAGATCATTTTGTTAACAAAGGATTCATAGTTCCATTTCTCATCGATTTTAACTGGACTACTCGATCTTGCATTACGATCATACCTTCTGACTAAATGATTAACAAATAACGCACTTTAATTCAAGTTGATTTTATATTATTTTTATTATTTAAGGTATTTAAAAAAATTTTGTTTGTAGTAAATATTTTAGACATTGGCAAATTCAATATTTTTTGTAAATATATAGTCAGAATGAAATAAATTATTTTTTTTCAATTATAAATAAATCACAATTAATTCTCAATTTAAGGCCATGTGAAATATCTATCACCTGTTAAAATTATAAAATTAGTTAAAATAAAATTTATGACCTAGATTATTTTTCAAACAGACTTACCAAAATCACCTAATCCAGGTATAATAAACTTTTTCTCATTTAATCCTTCATCAATGAATGCAGTTATAATCTTGAGTTGTGAAAACCTTGAAGTGACGGCTTGAATGCCCTCAGGTGCTGCAATTAAATTCAAAAACAATATTTTGTCTTCTTTAACACCATAAGACAACAATACTTCTATAGCTTTAATTGCTGATCCACCAGTCGCTTTATGAATTTAAAAATGTATAATAAATAAATATCTTTTTTAAATTAAATATTTTAATCAAGAATACTTACCAAGCATTGGATCTAACAACAAGACGTATCTATTCTCTATACCTGGAGGTAATTTTGCATAATAAAGCTAATGTAAAAATAATAGTATATTGAGAATTGTTATTATTTAATTTATTATATAAAAAAAGATAAGGAATCGTTGTTACCTTAGGTTGGGCAGTTTCTTCATCACGCTGGATCAAAATCTTTCCAATTCGTACGCTCCTAAACCATTGATATCATACAAAAAGTCAATAAAACTTTTTATCGAATAATCTACTATTACGATTATTAATCCAGATTAACAAACCTGCAACATTCAC